CAAGGCAGTCTGCTGCAAAACAGAAGTGCTGCCCAGCATGAGAACAGATACAGATTTAAAAGGAAGAGCAGCAAAGAGAAGGGAAACAACCATGGATTACAGTAAGGCACACATTACAGTATTGTTTTATGTTAAAAAATCTGAGGGATTAATGTCACTTTAACTGCCGATAATCACCATAAGGGTTAATTTTATAGTGATCTACTTTTTATATTTTGTTTTTTACATTTTAAAATATCTCTGGGTCAATGCAACAGGGAGAGCAGGGGTCATGACTTGTCAATGTGTTTTTAACATTGGTTTAGTATTCAGATCAGACAGTGATTATGACATGTAGTCATTCTCACTACTTTATCTGTGGCTATTAGTGACAGCTAAACCCAGCATACTGTATACTGGGATCAACTGTCACTCAGGGCCATCAGAAGCCCTGCACATATAATAAGAGCTGCCATTAAATGCTTCTGAGAAACAGCATTTATTAACAGCTCTGTACATGCAGAGATCTTATTGATCCGAGCATGTATGGCCTGCCTAAAGGTGCCCATACACTGCTCGATTCTCGTACGAGAATCGCGGGAAATCGAGCAGTGTGAACGGAGACGTGCGACCGTTTCTACTGTACGGTCGCACGTCTTCCGTCGAACCAGCATGTTCGAAAACCAGCCGGGAATCGTACGATTCTCGGCTGGTTAGAATGGTGCTCGGAAGACAAATGCCGAGCGGCCCGTTCAGCATTGCGGTCATGGGAGGGCGGGCTTGCGATGATCGAGAGTGCGATCTGCCTGTCCAAGATAGGCAGATTGTACAGGGATGAGGTCAGGGGCAGGTGAAGCCCCCCCGGCCTGCCCCCTGCCACAAGTACGGTCACCAAGCTATGTATTCATTTGCCCATGGTGGCTGAGACCCTGGTAATTCCACCACTGTAATCCAGCAATAAATTATACAGCAATGCAGAATAATGCCATCAGCTATAGAGGACTACAAATCCCAGCAATACATTATACAGCAATGCAGAATACCATCAGCTATAGAGGACTACAAATCCCAGCAATACATTGCACAGCAATGCAGAATAATGCCATCAGCTATAGAGGACTACAATCCCAGCAATACATTATACAGCAATGCATAATAATACCACCAACTATGGAAGACTACAAATCACAGCAATGCAGCATTCCACCAGCTATAGAGGGCTACAAATCTTAGAAATTCATTATAGTATAATGTAGAGCAGGAGGAATATATATACAATTGGTGGGGGGAATGATTGTGCTGATCCATTCCTGCTGCATGAATTGCGCAACATACTGCTCTTCTGTAGTCAAATCACATGCATCTCATAGCTCTGTAATGCTCATCCTGCTGCTTCAGCACGCTGTTGTGTTTTTGGCCTCTGTACAATAAATTGTGGATTTTCCAGGAGCCAAAATATTATTGTTTTTGGAGAGGTTCAAACCCAAACTGCTATGTAACTAATGTGGGTTTATAGGAGATGGTTGTTTAAAGTGCACCATGAACTTTAGAGTGATGTTATGTCAATTAAATGTATTAGCACTGTATATTCAATACATTGTTTTTTTTATGGAAATACTTTATTAAGTTGTTGATCTATCTTTGGACCACCGAGAAAGTCCCAATAAATTTTTTTTTGTATGTAGCAGAACATAAACCTGCTGTGCACAGATTGCAGGGATCTGTAGTTTTACTTGAAGTTTTTTTTTTTTGCATCATCAATATATCATATATATTTTTGGGACTTAATAACAGTTTGGACTCACTTGATGATTCATCACTTTTATAGATAACCTTTGAATTGATTTGATGCACGTTTACTAATCGATTGCAACAAGGAATTTCATAATAAGGTTTATTTCATTGCACTTTTGCACGAAGTGAAATTTGGTATTTAATATTTAACTGGCTACCACCATAGTATGATAATAGATTATACACTAAAGATTATAAACACCTATATATATTTCTTGATAACACGTAGTTACACATTTGATAGTTCACCTATTGGTGACCCCGAGCGCTGCACATCCATTCATATACATTTTCCAAAGAAATTTGGGGAAATGGAATTACCGCCTCAAATCTGGCCCCCTCTCCCCCCCTGCTAAACGTACTTTTTGCCGAACGGTCTTTCCCCTCCGCCAGTACAGGTGTATTATCTGTACCCCATACTGCTGTCCAGCGCAGCCCCGTGCTATGGATTTTGAATTTCGCACGTAATACATTCAGGTGACCGTGCTGAACAATAAGTGCCTCTTAGCACAGTTAAATACAGTTTTGGTTAAAATAATTTTTTGTTTCATGACAAGCAGATTATCGTCAGAGACAAGTAGATTGGGCCCCCACTTTTGTCTTTTTTATTTTTAAAATATTTCCACAACCCTGCTAATCTATTCATCTACATTGCATGTGGCATATGTTATGTCACGTATTGGGACTCACGGGTATGAACTGGAGTCAGGTATGTGGACCCTTTCCACTACACTGGCAGGGACACTTAGAGAAAAGGGTCCAAGCAGTGTAGGCTGACAACTCCCAGAGCTGGAGTACAAGCAGGGAACAGAGCAGGGGAACTGAATGAGGCAGTGGAAGTCAGCTTAAGTTGGAAGTTCAAATACAAGGCAGGGTGCTGAAATGCTGAGTAGGTGGCATGGGATGCTGAATAGGTGGCATGGGGTCCCCCAGGATGTGGAATCTAAGGGCCAGCCGGTATTCGCCAGAGCTGATGGTGGAGATGGGCTTGGCTGCGTGCTGACCCCAGGTCACAATCCCTAGGTCCACCCAACTCACCTAACAGGTACAGGGTACGAATCAAAGGTTAGGGACAGGCTGAAGACTTCCAGGGACCAAGCGAAGTACAGCGTAGACTGTAGACAGGGATTTCCAAGGACAAAAGGGAAGCGCAGGGCAGCCTGTAGACAGGGATTTCCAAGGACAAGCCAAAGGTTCGGTACACAGGAAAACTTCCAGGAATTCAGGGTAAATCACCAATGGGGACTCAGCAACTAGCTTGGGAAAGCGTTGCTCGGGCCGCGTGCCGTTCGCTGCCCTGAGTTTAAATAGAGACAGGAAGAGGGAAGATCCACAGGATTGGCCACATGCGGACTGCACTGATTGGCCGAGAAGCTGTATACGAAACAGCAGGAGAGGCCAGCCACGTCTAAAGCTGCCAGACAGGTGCAAGTTTAAAACAAAAGGGAACAGAGCGCTCTGTTCCCTTTTGTTTTCTATGTTCGTGGTGGAAGCCCCAGAGCCTTGGATGAGCAGCCCCTCAAGTCTGTGTAAAAAAAACTGTGATAAACTGTTGAAAACTTTGAGTGAGCAACAGCAAGTGGATTGTCCAGCTGGCAGCCATTAGCGCCAAGAGCTAAAGAAAACTTTTTTGCAGGTGCAAGTTTAAGCCAGGTTCAGAGCACATGCTTGGAGGACTAGAAGCACCAGCAACAGCTCAGCTGCAAGTCTGCAGCTGAACTGTGACATGTTAAGCTCCCCAAGGTTACATCCATCCACACTGAACCTTAATCAGTGTGCTGATATCACGTACTTTTGATTTTAAACTCTGTGTATTATCTTTAAAAACAATATGTTGGTATCATGACAAATCACAAAAATTAATATAGAAAAAACTAAACCAAGGTCTATAAGGATTTGTGGGTTTAAGCCATCTGGAACACAAACTTTATTCATGTTTTTCTAGTTGCCGTATTTGCTTTTCATCAACACACTGGTATCTTTCCAGTCACTAAATAGTCTAAAAATGTGAAAAAATAACGGGAGAATAAGAAATCTAAGCTCTTTAAGGACATGTGGGCATAAGTAATTTCTGCCAGAGCTTTATTCACATTTTGTCTCATTTTTTATTTTATCATATTAATGCTATGTTATTCTGATGCAAAGTAGTTTTTGAAAACTACAGCAATACAATGTTCAATTGAATCTAGTCACTGTTTGCTTAATAGATTGGTTCAGTTTTTTGGAGTACTGTAAATATAAATGGTGTTCTGGTATCAATGCTATTAGCAGAAGCACTTTCTGTACTGTTACAAAGTTTGACTGTTACGTCTTTCTGTGATTGTGTATATTTCCTGGATACTTCTGTAAAACATATATCTTAACTGTAGTAAAAAAAAACAGAAATCCCACCAGGCCCAGACATAGACAGGGCTGTCCTAACCAATGTGCTAGAAGATGAGCAGGCCACAAGTAGTACTAAGTAGTACTTAAGTTTTAAGCCATCATTTGACAAGATACCATACAAAACACAAAAATACAAATTCTTATGAAAGTAGCATAGAAGTCTGGCCTCACTAGGCTCCTCCTTAATAAAATTGTCAATGCAATGATATGTGAGTGAGAACAATTATCACAAATATATCAGTTAAATTGTAATGCATAAATATAAACAAGTTACAACCAAACCAAATGCAATAAACAAAAAGATACTATTTTAGTGATCTGTAAACTGGATCCCCTAGTGGCTGCAGAATGCATTTAAAATATCATAGTTAAAAATACACAGCCATCGGAAATGATGGTTCCTAAGCATTGTGGAAGCACTACATGTAATATGAATGGCATCTGACACTCTTACCCTTAGCCGTAGCCTTTCTGCCTCTTCTTGGTATCCAGACAGCTGCTTCTTCCATTTCTCCACATTAGTATTTGCCTCACGCAAAGCGGCTACCAACTTGTTGTTGTTGTCCTGGAGACTGAAGAACTCCGCTTCCCATTGCACTTCGCACACCGAGCTGCGTAACAGACAAGGGACACATGAAATCCTGTGTTTCTTTCTTTCTTTAAACTTAATTTGCCCATAGTTAGCCTCCCATATTTCTCCAACAATATACCAATTCTAAGGGTAAAGTCAGGATTTCTTTAGTCTACTTTGTCTCATTTGAAGAGTCCAATACCAGCAAGCAATACTACAGACTCTCTTTTAGCTTTTGGAACACCATCAAAAGTAAACAGAGACTTTCCAACACATTGGCCTTTTCAAGTTTATATCAATGCAGCACAGAGAAGGAGGAAGTTAGCAATGCAAGAAGATGCTTCCAGCCCTCCTATATCATGGGTGAATAATAGCGTTCTTGGGTTTCTAACCTACCAAATCAATGTTCCCCCTGAGAAGGGTGGTCTGCTCAAAAATGTCCAGACTGAGCAACTTTTATCTCATGTCTATGAACTGCTTATCTGTTATCACTCAGCCTCTGTGTGGTAACATCTAACTATTGTGTGCCCTTTGCATTGCACATACATAACTAGCATATATTAAACTTAGACTAATGGTACCACACACAAATCACACTATGCTTTAAAAATGTTCTATGTCTCCCTACAGCTCAGCACACAATCTGATTACATAATTTCCTTTATATCTGATACCTGCCTGACTGCATATACATTGATTGAATAAATGCAAAATGTAACGTGTATGGTGACCCTAAATGTCGTCACACCTAAGCAATTTTGTTTTTACACTCTGATATTTCTTTCTCTTTTCCAATTAATTCTGTGGTGTAAATATAAAATGGAGAAAAATATAGATTTTGTTTTGTAAAAAAAAAAGGAATTTCTAACTGTGAAATATTGTATGTGATTTTGCTCAGTAAAAGTGACTTCTATAATGCTCTAAGCATAAGTGTACTTTTGCTGGTGTTTAATTAAAGCCCATCTCTGGGGGATATAAAAAAAACTCCCCTTGCAGTGGGGCTTCCCCTGCACTGCAATGTTTATCTGCATGTTAATGTCTTTGGGACCAGTGTAAAGCACTTTTACTTACCTGATTCCAGCTCCCCCAGCAGTTGGTGCTCTAATCGTCTCCTCTATGCTCCGGCTGGTAAACGGTCTCTCAACATTCTCACATATAATACAGGGCTTCGGGCCCTGAACTGTACATGATGACATCAGAGGTCCTCTGACCGCCAAGGTGTAGGTGGGAAGAGGCTTGGGGCACTGGTACTGGAGTAAAAGTCCTTTACACAGGTCTCATAGACATTAACAAGTAGTTAACCCTTACAGTCTGGGGGTTACATCATATACTGTATAACCTTCATAAGCCAACATATATAAAAGGAAAAAGGAAATTGAGTTTAGCATGCTGATCAGTCTAGCTCCAGCTGCTAATTTTCTACTACAGAAAATTTACTGAAATATCTGATTACAGGTAAGTGAGATTAATGTTTTTACACATGAGGCCTGTTCACGCGAGAGAAACTCACTAACTTGGTGGTTCACATTAACATGTCATTTAGTTGATGGATGTTAGCTGGGCCCCTCCATGTTTCTTTACAGGAAATCCCCTGTGGCGTTCTGACCGATCTACAAGCAAGTCAGAAGGATTTAAATAATCAGCCCTCCAAGCTGGCATCTGTTGTGATGATCTTCCATGAGAGTGGGAGGAAGGAATTTCCCAACTCCAGAGCTGAATAGCTGTGCTACCAAGTCAGAGCCAACCTGGTCTCTGACACAGGTGAATTTGTTTGTCCACAGACTAAATTAATTTGTCTCACAATGGCAAAATGTTGTGTTGAAGAGGTCTGAAGAGGAACTGACCAAACAGGACTCTCTCGAAGGAGGCTACCATCAAGCCCCTCTAATGCAGAAATGTAAAGTTGGTTGACTCTTTGACTGTAGAATCCAAGTCTGGGAGCAGACAAACAGGAGCTATTCTTGTAGGTGAAAAACCTGAGATATCTAGAATGAGACCTAGATATTTCAATCGATGTGTCGGCTTCAGTGCTGTTATCTGGAGGTTCAGAATCCAACCAAACCTTTTTAATGTTTGTACTGTCCGCGTTACATAGACAGCCAGCATGTGACAGCCTTAGGGCCTTTAAAAGGGCCAAGACTAGTAACAGCACTGGTGGAAGCAAATGACTGTTCCATTTTAAATGTGACTTTTATTCACAGCTATTGTGGGCTCTTTGAGCTTAGGCATTAACTGAGATTCCTGAAGAACGCCTATTAAGGACTTATGGGTTACCAATTCAGAGAGAACTCCTGCAGCAGAAGGCAACAACGCAATTACAGCTGCAGATACTGTATATCGGAAACTGAGCCTGAAGGGGAAGCTATGAAAAAACGGTTACAGCCCAAAAAATCCTGTATGGCTACAGAGAACTCCCTCCTGGATAAAGCAGAGGAAGAAGCTATTCTGACTCCGATCGTTGTGATAGCGAAATATATCCCTTGCTGAGACCTCTATGCCTGGCCTGTATAAGCAGATATACTCACTGCGGACAATCCTCGTCAGATAGCTGAACTCGTCAATACCGATTCATTCAAAAGAGGTGTTTATTCTTTAACATCAGGTTACAGCAGATGATAGGAACAGCAGATGAACAGTTATAGTATTGTGCGGTCAAAAGATGATGCCTTTCCTACGTACTGTGCAGATTACATATGTGTCCTTGTTACATGTGGCTGTTCACTGTGGCCATGACACAGGAAGTACTGCACACAGGAAGAAGGAAGGGGCGTACACTAGGGGGAAATACGTCATCACATGAGGAATAATTACAGAAAGACATGTATATTACAACAAAAGGCCACTAGATGGCAGCATAGGATAACACATGGATTTAGCTATGAGAAAATAGTTAGGCAAATCACACTATATAAATTCTAACCTATATAACAATGCTAATATTAACTGAGGCTATGCATCTCATATTCTATGCCCCTATTGGGGCGGCACAGGAGCCATGTCTGCTCTTTCTTCTGCTATGGAAAACCCTAAGGAGTGAGTTGACTCAACTAGAGGGCAACAATCCAATGCGCTAAAAAGAGGTGGTGCAATGCTCAATCGCACTGTTTACCTTTTTTTTCCAACTTAATTTAAATGTCACATTGTTCTATTCTTTGTGGTGCAGTGAACTACTGTATATTGCAACATGCTGCAGTGAAAAAAGTACTGCCTGTAGTGATGTGAACTGACTTCACAGTAAACAAGGAAATTTGCATTGTCTAAGAGGGTTATTCACAAAGCTAGCCGAAGGATCAGCCGTAACTCCGGCTGATCCTTCGGCTAGCTTTGGCCGCCAGAGCCCTTCGGTTCAGTCGAAACGAATGGCTGCTGTACGGGCTATTTACTATAGCCTGTACAGCTCCCGAAGCTGGCCGAGCCGAAGGCTTCGGCTCGACTGAACCGAAGTGAAACCCGAAGCGGGCCGATAGGCCAAAAGCCTTGCAACTAGCAGCTGGGCGGAGCCAGGTGTGATCTCACGGCTGGCTCCGCCCAGTTGCAATGACAGATTGGGGACGCTGAACTGTCATTAAACAATGATAACTTGGCGGAGCCCACCATGACGTCAGGGCCGGCTCCGCCCAGTTGTTATTCATTGGCCGGGACCTGCTAGAAGACTCTAGCAGGTCCTAGCCAATAGGGCGGAGCTAGGTGTCATTGCTAGCTCCGCCCAATTGTTTTTCTTTTTTCCATAATCTGAGTAGGGAAACAGAGGTACCGAGCAGAATAGCCGAGCCGAAAGACGCTCGGCGGCATTCGGCTAGTCACTCACTGCCGTTCGGCCCCTATGAGAATAGGCGAACGGCAGCGAGTAGCCTGCCGGAGGTTCGGCTCAGCCGATCAAGATGTTGGATCGGCTGAGTCGAACTCCTTCTGCACTTCGGCTCAGCCGAACAGGCTAAGCATGCTCGGCCTAGCCAAAGCAAGCCGATGTACGGCTGATTTCAGCCATTGTACGGCCGTACAAGCCTGAAGTGAATAGCCGAACACCGTTTGGCTCACTTCACTTCGGGTCGGTTATTCACTTCGGCAGCTTTGTGAATAAGCCTCTAAGTGTTAGGATACCTGCACAGGGCAAAGCTGCATCTGGTGTGAATGGGCCCTTAATGAATGATTTTTTCCAGACAATATCCATGCACGAGCCTGTTGTCATTATGTTAGTAGATAAGTTGGACATGAAGCCAAGAAGCATCAAATTAAGTGTGCTTTCCAGTAAATAATTTACTTAGAAGTTAAAATCCTTTCTGCCATGGTTTATCAGGATGGCCATCAGATTTATACTGGCAATAAGTGTGGATAGTTCCTCATGCTGAAAGAGAAAAGCATAAAATCTTCTAATCCTCTTTGTAAATGCGAGTGATTTACCAAGGTTTCATCAGACTACTCTTCCTCAAAGTAATCAAGTGATTCAGCGCTCCAACTCAAATGATGAATGTTTGAGCACTTTCCCATTTGACCTCTATCAGATTCCAGATTGCTTAACAACACTATCTAAAGAAGAAAGTAAGACAACAATTCTTTAGCTCTTTAAAGGTTAACCTTTATCTGGCAAAGTAAATAGCTTATAAGCATATGAAGGCACCCAAATAACGTTGTTTTGTAAGTATTGGGTATTTTAATTGGCTTGTAGCAGATGGAGGGGGAAGGCTTGGACACAAATCTGAGTTACAGTGACATACAATATATTTCAGCCATATTGTATCTTGTGTCATTGTAAAACTCCACTCCATTTAATCATTTGTGCTTATGTGCATTACGCTGGGTTTATAAAGGATTTACATAGAGTTGTACGACTTAAAGTGTATTTCCACTTCTGCAGCCAAATTGGGATAATATCTACTTTGTAGTTGTCACATAGCATAAGCTTAAAAAAAAAATCTGCTTACCATTTTCATTATACTTTTTTCTAGGAGCACCACTATTGAAAAATCCTACCTAGCTTTTATATTTGCTGCATACAGTTTGCAATAAATCACAAATGTAAATACCTGTTTTTTAATATTT